CAGTATCTTTTAAATGTGCACAGAATTGCTTGGGGATTTATCTATTTCAGGAATGTACAGTCCAGAAATAGTTAGCTGCTTTCAATCTGATATGCCAAAAATTGAGTCGTTTTCTTGAACATATGTTTAGGAAATTTCTAGAGAAAATAATGTGCAAGCAGTAACTCATCTGAAGAATATATTCAGTGTACAATATAAAAGATGAGCTGATTTGAAATATCAGAATTAGCGGGTCTATTTCTAGTACCTAAAAAAGAACTGTTTATTTTTGCTGTTGGTGCTTCTTTTTTAAAATAAATTCTTAAGTATTTATTCAGGAGCTTAAAGTATTTAGACATGGAAAAAACCTTTAAGAGTTAGTGGTTACTTGCGCATGACTCTGGCTCTGGCTCCAGGGAATCCAACAAGGGACTTCATGCTTGCCTTCTTACCTTTAAGGGACAGTGGCTAAAGATATTATTATTTTATTATTATTATTTTTGAGATACAGTCTCAGTCTGTCACCTAGGCTGGAGTACAGTGGCGTGACCTTGGCTCACTGCAACCTCTGCCTCCTGGGTTCAAGTGATTCTCCTGCCTCAGCTTCCCAAGTAGCTGGGATTACAGGCGTGTGCCACCATGCCTGGCTCATTTTTTGTACTTTTTTAGTAGAGAGACGGGGTTTCACCATGTTGTCTAGGCTGATATCGAACTTCTGACCTCAGGTGATCCGCCCACCTCAGGCTCCCAAAGTGCTGGGATTACAGGCGTGAGCTACTGCACCTGGCCCAGCTAGAGATATTATAATCTGCTTCTGTTACTCAACCCAGTGTTTGAAAGTCTCCCCTGTTTCCAACTGCAAGTGTATTTTTGTCAAAGCCAAATTCAGAGAATTTATCACACTTTATTCCTTAATATAATTGTATGGATTTTTTTCCTTAAAAATCGCCACTCTTTACCCCAATGTGTGTTTATATAGTAGACAAGCCTTCACAGTTCCATGATGGAGTAATGGGGATAGTTTATGGATTAGGTATACTGTTTAGTGACTTTCTCCCTTCTCCTGTTCTTTGGCCATTTTCTAGTTTATGAACTGACATTGAGAGCTGTATAGAGATTGTATATATCTGTGATGCATTATTTGCATTATTGTTCTTTACTGATTATAATGATACAAAGAGGGCAGGCCCAAAAGCTGCAGCGGTTAAGTATCTTCAGAAATGGCCCCGCCTTTTCCATGGCTTCCTCTTTACAATTGCAAGTACATAGTCAACAGGGCTCATTCTTGGTAATAATGGAGAATAGCGTAGTGCCAGAAGACAGTAAGGTAAGCTGTAAGGAAATCTCAAGTAGCAACAGGAAGTTCATATAGTCCCTATTCCACTTGTTAGGCTATTCCTTAGTAGTTGTTGACATATATCATTGACAGATATAAAAAGTTGTGTTCTTTTTTGTGATGTAATGGTTGAGAATATAGATTTAGATTCCAAATCCATGATTTATCAGCTCTGTGCTTTGGACTAAGTTATTTAATCAATCCAAACTTAAAATAAAATAGGAATTATTAATATAACAGCACCTACCTTATAGAGTTATAATGAAAATTTAATGAGTTAATGCCTAAAAAGCATATAGACTAGTGCCTGCTGCATAGTCAATGGTCAATAAATATTAGCTATATTTTGCTATTGTTATGTTTTATTTGAGAAATCTACTTTCTAGTAGGAGGCTTCCTGAATCATCCTGCTTGGGTGATGAAAAGGAAAGGGGCACCATGTGCCGCATCTGTCAAAGTGTTTATTGTCCTATATCTATTTCTACAACTTATTTAACTATATTTAAATACCAACATCAGATTGTGTCATTTTAACCACAGTTAAGTGGGGCCACTGTCATATTCAGTAGACAGAAATTAAAATGACTTCATTTCTCTTTTTATCCAAATTTGAATCAACATGGCTATTTTATTTCATTAAGTAAATATGTAAATAGAGAAATAAATGAGATTTCCAATTGGGAAATATAGCAATGATGAGAAGAATACTATGTGTATTTTAAATGACATTTTCCTATCTGTAAAAAAGAAAATTTCTATGAAGTTGTTTCTATCATCACCCCAAACTAAAATTTTTACCTGGATTTGCTATAGCTCTTTCTAGAAAGGGCTCTTTACCCAGTCTGAAATGCTTTCAGAATACTATAATTATTTTACTAATATATATTGTAAATTACAAGTTTAATTTATAATAGGTTAAAAGTACTTGTTTTAAATTAAACATAAATCTTGGAGTAGTTTAGCACAATTTCTCATGTTTGAAGAAAATAAAAGATTTATGATACAGAAATTTATGAAACTGGCTATTATGTCTAATGTACTTGTAAATATCTTTATTTGCTGACTACTTAGTGTGCCTGCTATGTACCAGCAACTGTGTTAAGTGTTGAGATTGCTGATGGGAGTACAAAGACATGGAGAAATTAACAACACATCGAGAGCTATGTTTCAGTAATTCAAAGGCTGTTGGAAAAGTAAAGAGCATAAAACATAACAGCGCTGTGAGGAGTGGCCATAGAGGGCAAAGGATGCAGAAAATAATTTTGAAATAAGGAGCTTCTGCTGAGAGTCTAAGGATGATTAGGACAAAGGAAGGGAGGTGGGAAAAAATGAAAAGGACTTTCAGGCAGAGGAATACTTGTATAGTGAAGCAGAGAGGCAAGAGAAAATGGCACTTTAGCAGGACCAGCAAAATGGTCAATATGATGTGAGTGAGGTGAGCATTTGATAACATAGGTAACAAGTCTGGAGATTATGTAGGCATGAGCCCCTGATGATTTTTGTCAGGTGGACAAAAGTTTTGAACTTTTTCTAAGGGCAAAAGAGAATCATGGAAAGGTTTTTAAGCCAAGTTTTATTTTTATATTTGCATTATAGAAAATTCTCATGGCAGCAGAGTTGGAGATAGATTGCAAGAGCACCTGAATAGAGAAGGGAAAATCAATTAGAAGGCAGTTACAAGTTGAACATCCCTGATGCAAAATCTGAAATCTGAAATGCTCCAAAATTTGAAACTTTTGAGCACTAGCATGAGATAGTGACATTTTTGCTTTCTGATGGTTCAACATATACAAACTGTGTCATGCACAAAATTACTTAAAATATTTTATAAAATTACCTTCAGGCTATGTATATAAGGTGTTTACGATACATAAGTGAATTTCATGTTTAGATATGAGTCCTAACCCCAAGATCTCTCATTTTATATATGAAAATATTTCTAAAATCTGAAAAAATCCAAAATCCAAAACACTTGTGGTCTCAAGCATTGTTGATAAGGCATTCTTAAATGCCTGTATAATAGAAAACATTTGAATTAAGGTACTGTGTATGATAATGGAAAGGAGAGTTGGAAAATTATTTAGAAGATAAAATTGACAGACTCAGCAACTCATGTCAGTCAGAGGGAAGAGTAAGCAATAATTTCCAAAGTTGAAGATAATGGTGCTGCCCTCTACTGAGAAGCAGGGGTGTGGAAGAAAGAACAAGAGAGGGGAAGGAATCTCATCATACATTAAATTTTACGCAGCTTCCCATATTTCAAAGGAGTTCTGGGTAGTGATGACCAGTTGGCTGTTAGAAACACAGATTTAATATTCTTAAAGTATAACTAGGAAGTAAAGAGAGCAGTGATGCCAACTTATGTAAGATTGTTTACTAAGAGCATGTATGTGGTTATACAGTACTGTATGTGGTAAAGGTCTTTGATCTAAATAAAAATAAGAGCTCAAAATGGAAACCTCAAAAAATACTAATATTTGATGTGCTAGAATAATTGGAGACTTCAAAAGGCTCTTGAGAGGTTACGGTAAAAAAGCAAACAGTGGAAAAGAAGGGTCATAGACACTAAGGGTCAAAAGAGGTTAAGATATCCAGGCCTTAAGATACATATAGGACATGTCTGAAAACGTACACACCAAACTCTCAGGAATAGCTAGTTCTACGAGGTGGCATTGAAGATAATTGTAAAAGAACTGGGAATTTCAATTTCGTATTTGAATGTTTAAAATAAAATATGTTCTATATATATTTTTATAACTTCTTGAGAACTTAGTGTTTCAAAATAAAATGTTAAAAAAATCCTCTCAAAATTTAAGCTATAGTCAATTGAAAATGAAAAACAGATCAATCAAATGAGCTTAATCAGAAGAGAAAGAGGGGGGAAAGGGCAACATGGAGTGGTCCACAGTATCATACTGCAGATAGGTCACAAGAGATAACGACTGGCAGGAGCCTTTAGCTTGGTATTTAGACGGGCTCACAAGTGACCTTATTAAAAGCAGTTCTTATCAAAGGCTAAGGGCAGAAGCTTTACTGTAGTTGTTGGAAAATGGAAAGTGAGAACCTGAAGAGTTGGAATAGTCATCTTATGAAGGAGGAACTTAAGTGTGAACAGAAAGAGAGATATGAGCAAGGGACTTAGGGTCCATGGTGAGTGAACTGTTTGCTAAAGATCTTTATGGAGGTAAGAAAGAGATCCATGCAAGCTACTTTAGTCATGGAGGTTTATTGGGAGTCACCCAGGAATGTGAAATAGTCTGAGTATTAGCTAAGCAGGAGCTAAGTCCACTACTCACACTGCTCCTACTTATTCCAGGTCCCAACTTCCCTAAAACTGGGATTTGTAGTACGTTTTTTAAGCAATTGAAGAAGTTGCTGGGCAAGCTTTCTTGGAGGGAAGAGACCTGAGCTTATTTATATGCTAGAGGTAGGCACCAGGAGGGGGCAAAAGCTCTGAAGTACAGAAACTAGTTGAGGTACTTATTTAAATGAGTGGACTCTTAATTTGAAAAGTAATTCCAGCTGTTTCTGGGAATTAAGTTTTGTACAAAATGCAAAACTTGCCATGTTCCAAAGGCTAAGCCAACCAATATATTTCACTTACATTCATGTTAGAAAAAAATTTAATAAGGTGACATAAATAAGCTAGTAAGTTTCTTTTTTTCTTTTCCTTCTTCTTCTAAAGCCGAACAACAACTTATCCTTACACAGAGACGCAGATGTACAGCCAAAACACTGGAGGGAATTACTTTGATACTCAAGGTAGTTCCGCACAGGTGACTACTGTGGTCTCATCCCACAGTATGGTGGGCACTGGTGGGATTCAGATGGGCGTCACAGGAGGACAACTCATCAGCAGCTCTGGAGGAACCTATCTGATCGGCAATTCAATGGAGAATTCTGGTCACTCAGTGACACACACAACTCGGGCCTCCCCAGCGACAGTAAGTATTTGAGTTTTTAGTAGTTTAATTTAGCTTTCTAGTAGTCTCTAATGAACATTTCCTTTTATAGAGGGAAAAGAACAACACAGATGGGACTGGGGCAAGTATGTGTTAGACAGTTTTAGTACTGTGATGGTTTGCAGAATGTAGTATATGTAGTATTATGCAGAATGTTACTGATATGTATGCCCTCTAATCAGGTGAATTAGAGTTTTTAATTTTACTGGCAAGTTAGAGAGGTGATTTTTACTGATTAAACTGCTGGTTTTAATAAGCTGTCTTCCATCAGTAAAATACCTTAAATTTCTATGGAAAGAACTTACTTTCTTATTATGCTTACTTTATGAGATCAAAGCTAAGCAGTAATATAGAGGATAAAATATAATTTAGCTTGGAATTTTCACATCTTTCAACAATAGTATTTATGCTAGCTCATCCCCAGAGAAGTTACATTATGTAAGGCAGCATTTCCCAAACCTTAGACATAAAAGTTTTGACATATTCTCATGCTACCTGCATTATTATTTACTTAATGTTTTCTAAGTTGACTCACTTTTAATACAGAAAATCGTGTGTAATTTTTCCTAATACATATTGAAGTCAGTATTTAAATAGTAAAATTAAAAATGTTTACCCATGTGCCTTATATAAATTCCTGTTGCATTCCACCAGAGAGATACTTTAAGAAGTATTAATATAGGTTATTTAGATGAAAAATGTTTGTGTTGGCTCTGATCATAGATATGAGCAAATAGTATCTTAGGAACATATATATTTAAGTTATATTTAATAGATATATTTATTTTAACACAATGGGTGGGGTTTTGTTTGTTCGTTTGTTTTTGTTTTTTGAGGCAGAGACTCGTTCTCTTGCCCAGGCTGGAGTACAATAGCACAATCTCAGCTCACTGCAACCTCTGCCTTCTGGGTTCAAGTGATTGTCCTGCCTCAGCCTTCCAAGTAGCTGGAACTACAGGCACATGCCCTCATGCCCGGCTAATTTTTGTATTTTTTTAATAGAGATGGAGCTTCACCACGTTGGCCAGGCTGGTATCAAACTCCTGACCTCAGGTGATCCACCCTCCTCGGCCTCCCACAGTGCTGGGATTACAGGTATGTGAGTCACCGTGCCCGGCCAAAACAATGTATTTTAATGTACTGAAATGATATAATAGTAATAGTTGTAGAAAGTTATGCAGAATGTTATAACATCAAACTCTGTAACCTGAACTTCTGTTTTTCACCTTAATTAAGCATATGAGAGTGGTCCATTTAGAACCACATAGCTAAAGCAGCAATGAAATAGATTTTCTAGTTATTACATATAAAAGGGTGCTGGGGATTTGAATTAAGGAGATGTATCCCATTTTATCATCTCATCATATAGTTTATTCTTGCAATGAAATAGAGATAGAAATAAATTGGGGAGAAAATAGTAATATGAGAAGCTTTAATATTTCTCATTTTATGGAGTTTCTCCAGGATATTATATGTACTTGGTAAGTACTTTGTATATACTTTGTGTATTTGCAGTAAATTCATGTGTTCATACTTTCATCATTCAGTGCCCTTTCCTTAATTTATTTTTTTTTTTAAACTTTTTATTTTAATTCACTATTTGTTACTAGCATCAGAACAGATGACTAGCTGGTCTGAGTGGAGAGTTCCTTTTCATAATTTTTTTTTGTAATTCTGGAGCATTTCCTATGTGTATTTGTTGTCTTTTGCTTTTAATAATATTAAATACAGATTTTTGAACCTTTTAGTCACACCAGTACATTTATGTTGATTAGAAGCAAGGGAATTGCTACTAATAAACCATAGCTTCTCTGGACCTCATTTCCCCTATCACTAAAATAAGAGGTTAGACCAAATGATTTTCTAATTTCCTCCTACCTTTACAATCATAAGATTTACAAAAATTTATAAAATACTGTAGATATAAAAAATAACTGTATTTTTAACATAAAAAGAAAAGAAGTAGAAAAGGGTGACAGTAGTATATAGCACTCCTCCTATAGGTCACCTAGAAAATTATTTCCAGTGAAAAGAAAATACCCACCATTTAACAAGGCCTTAGGAAAACTAAAAAACAGGGCAAAATGTGCCCTTTCTCGCTTTCATTTCATCCACCTGCTTTTATCCTAACATACCATCCTTTGAAATCCCATTCATTTCCTACCTCACCTTCTCTAGGCATTCCTACTTGCCTTCACGCTGATTCTGATACCTGTTTAACATCCTCATCAACTGGATGCGGGTATACTAAATTTACTTGCCTCTCACTAAATAAACCAAATTGCTTATTCCAGCTCATGTAAATACAGTTGCATTGCTAACCTTTATAGTTTGATTATTCTTCTTCTATTTTTTGGCAGGGATGGTTAAGGGATACACTTTGGTTTTCTATGTAGGTATGAAAGGTGGCATTACTTCTTAAGTTACCCATTATACAAATTTGATATGTGATTTTTATTATATTAATTGGTAAATTGAACACATAAAATAGCTGAATTATAAAAACTGGGAATAGTTGAAAACTTTTACAAAACACCAATTTATAATATCAATTGTATATATTAATTTTATACTAAAAATAATCATATTTGAGGTTGTTTTGTTAATTTTTGTTAAGGATAAAAATTCTAAGGTGATTTTTTTTCTTTTTGTTTTGTTTTGCTTTCTTTTTTATAAGAAAATTTTCCTTTATAACAAAAGGAGTATAAAAGTTAAAAAAAAAAAAAAGAGGGTAACTTGTATGAAAAAATGACAAGGTGATCTCACCAAAGCCCTTATAGATTGATAGTGTGGTACTTGTCTAAATATACTTCTGCTCATGTTTATTGTATTACCTTGAATTTATTATTGAAAGGTATATTTGATTTAAATGCCTTTCTCAATTGTACTGAAGATCTGCTTGACTCACAGTGAGGTTGTGATTCTCAGTTTACAATTTCACATGTTACTGTAGTAAAATTAACAAAGTTTAAGTGCCATGAAACCTATTTAAGATATCATATCATCCGCCTCTTGCCAAATGTTAGAAATGCTAACCATAGATTTTTGGTTGTTTTAACTCTTAAAAACCAAGGATTTTTTTTTTTTTTTTTAGGAGATGCCATATCATTAGATTGTATATGAGCACAATCTTTAACAGTTTGCTGGTCAGGTCTCAAGTCATTTGTTTCCAAACATTGAGCCCATCTGTACCATATATGTTCAGTTTTTCTAACTGTTCTTTAGTGTTAACCTGTAACCTATAGAATGACTGATGCAACTTACTGGGCAAGATTAGCCTGAACTATAGCCAAATTTCTTGACTGAGAAATAGTCAGTTGGGTCATTCCTTAAGGGCTATCAGTAAGTGGAATGCATAGTCAATTAATTCAGTTGATGTAAAACTAGCTATGTTTGGGTACTTGGGAATAGCACAAACCAAACACTTTTACCCAGTTCCTGTGGCAAAGTTTTCTGGTCCAGTTCTCAGAATAATTGCCTTGACCTCCTCTTTTACATTTACTGTACCTATACAGAAACACTTTTATTTAAAATTGTTAGAAATAATTTCCTACCACAAAGGAAAGTTTATTCTAATGCGCAAGTCAATTTCTTGAGATATGCTAATGAAAAAAAGTGAATTGATTTGATATTGAAGCAACTACTAAGAAAAATGATTAGCACTCTTCTTACTTAGTCTAATATTCAACATAAAACCTAAAGCCATCTTTCTTATACTAAAAGAATCTCTGAATCATTAATAGAAAAATTTTATTTGAGCATATGAATTATTCTTATAACTTTAAATGAAAAAAATTATATAAAGATGTCTTAATTTTTGGGTTTCACATTATAAAATTTTTCAGTTTTCAAGGTACATAGAAACATCAGCATTTTTCTGGTGAGGTTGTGGAGAAAACAGAATGCTTATACACTGTTGGTGGCGGTATAAATTTCCTCAATCATTGTGGAAGGCAGTATGATGATTCTTCAAAGACCAAAAGTCAGAACTTTCATTCAGCCCAGCAATCCTGTTACTGGGTATACACCCTAAGTGATAGATATTGTTCTATTATAAAGACACATGCATTGCATATCTTCTTTGTAGCACTATTCACAATAGCAAAGATATGAAATCAACCCAAATGCCCATCAGTGATAGACTGAATAAAGAAAATATGTACATATACACCATGGAATACTATGCAACCATAACAGAGAATGAGATCATGTCCTTTGCAGGAACGTGGATGGAGCTGAAGGTCATTATCTATAGCAAACTAACACAGGAACAGAAAACCAAATACTGCATGTTCTCACTTATAAGTGGAAGCTAAACGATGAGAATACATGGACACATAGAGGAGAACAACACACACTGGGCCTTAGAGGAGAATAGAGGGTGGGAAGAGGGAGAGGATCAGGAAAAATAACTAATGAATAATAGGCTTAATACCTAGGTGATGAAATAATTGGCACTACAAACCCCCATGACACATGTTTATCTATTTAACAAACCTGCACATCCTGCACAAGTACCCCTGAACTTAAAGGTTAAAAGGTCAGCATTTGTTAATTTGGTAACAAATTAAATTTTATATGAATATGTTATGATATCAATTACTAATATTCAAATTTAGTCAAAATAATATTTCTCTTTTTATTTACTGTGTCCTTTTATATGGTCTATGTGTTTAAATTATATATATATGTATATAGATATATACATATATGGTTTTACTTATATAAATACATACACATACATTTAAAAGGCATTTCCTGCTGATAATATTAAACAGCAACTTTCAGAAAGATTTTATAACATTTTTATTGAATCGTCACTGGATATGGGTTCAGCTAAGTTGCGACCTGAATGTTAGGGATCTATTTATTGTTAATATTTCAGTAGCACATAAACATTTTGGTAGAAGAACTGGCCACAGTCTTAATTCTGAACTCATTATACATCCGTCTTCTAACTATATCAACATAATATTTCCCTC